ATAACAGGCATTATACCACCACTCCTGGTTCAGATGGTGTGTTCTAAAAGCAGAAAAGCAAACATCGGATGTGAAAAGAACCCCGCACCCCTCTCTACAAAAATGAATTCCTGAGTATCAGAGCTGTCAATGAAAGGCTGAAGGGCTAAAACTGTAGCCCGCCTTCAGCAGGAATCACGGAAGAAAAACTTTGCCATATTGAGTCAGCAACAACGTCATAATCAAGAGAGGGTGAGCTGGTGACTTAATGTGTAACACAGAAAACTGTGCTTTGAAAGGCGCTTGCAAACATGAAAAGCCTGAGAGAAAATATTTGCAAAATACACATCTGCTACAGGAGAAACACATAACGTATAAGGGGCCTCAGAATTCAAAGGCAGGACAGTAAACAGCCCAACAAATGAAGGACACAGGATTTCAACAGACACAGAATAATAACACACAGGCACAGCGAGGTGGCAAGTGCTGAGCGTCACCAGCTTTGAGGGAGCAGTGTAGCCATGTCTGGGTTACCACTGCACACCCCACAGAGGACTGGCACCCCGAGGGCTGCTCAAGACCAAGGCAACTGGAAACCTTGGGCACTTCTAGTGAAGGTGAGGATGGTGTGGTGGCACTGGACACAGTCTGGCAGTTTCCCACACAATGACGCATCCCGAAGGTGAGGCGCCCAGCTTGCACTCTTCTGTACACAGGGGAACAGAGGACTCACGCTCCCAGAAAAATCTTTACACCAGTATTTCCAGGAGTTTCCTCATCATCATCTACAACTGAGGCCAGCCCAGATTTCCACCTGCCACTGCACAAATCAGTGTCCACCCAGCCAGTGGGACCTTTCTCTGCCTTCAGAAGAAACCAGGACAGGCATGGTAGTGCACACCTGTATTCCCAGCACTCGGGAGGCTGAGACAGGGAGACTGCCACAAGCTCAAGAGCATCCTGGGCTACATAGTGAGGTCAAGGTTAGCCTGAACTGCATAGTGAGACCCTGTCTCAAAAAACAAGACAAAACAAAACAACAAAAACAAAAGTCTAACAGCACGGCTGAATCGCAAGCCCACTGTGCCGCATTACGCCCTGTGCAGTTCCAGCTGCGACCTCCAAGCTACCCAGACTGAAAGCAGACAGGTGTTCACCTGGACAAGGGAGGGATGACCCACAGCGAGGAGAAGCAGCCTTCTGGTGTCCGCTGGGCTCTGTGTCACATAACCGTGTGCCTTTTGGGACACATTAAACCAATAAACCAAATGGAGGGAGCGCTTGGTGGAAAAGTCACTTTTATTCAAGCTATTTGAGTCAGGCATTCTGATTCAAGGGAAGTGGTATTAGTGTTAATGCTGTGTAAGGAACAGGGACCTTCACAGGAATTCCAAACGAGAGGCAGAGCACCCACGTGGGCTCCTCCTTCCCAACCTGTTCACACTGGGCCAGTTCTCTGATGCTCACTTGGCCTCCGCTGTCCAGACCCCTCCAGAGTTTCTGGTTCCAGATCTCAGGCACGGGCATCTGGTCAACTCATTCTCCAGCCGCCAACTTGCTGATGGGGCTGGAAGCCTGGGGCCACAACTCCAAGAAATACTTGTACTTTGGGATGGACGGGAAGAGGCAGGAGTGTTAGGGTTCTCTAGACAACAGCGGCAGCCAGGAGGGCGGGGCCGAGCTGGTAACCTAACCACCTATGGAGAGCTGCAACTGTGCTCCTTCTCACCTCTCCGATTGGATGGAGCTGCAGGGGCTGCTCCCCAAGGAACCTCGGTCGCTCTTGGCTTCAGCGTGCACTGCTCTTCCTGGGCCCTCTCTTCAGGTCCCTTACAGACCACGGCAGCTGATGTTTCAGGACGGCGGCTGATGTTTCAGGACGGCGGGACACTGCCACTCCTGCAAGGTCCTCTGAGAAGGCCACTGGGGTGCTCATCCTAGATTCTGGGGGCAGCCTGGGCATCTGTCTCGGGCTGACAGCTCAAGGACAGGAGTACCCAACACACAGGTGTACAACAAGGTGCAAACCAGTGGCCCAGGACAAATGCTGCAGATGGCTGCTCGGGCTCTGGGACTGCACTATGGTTGTGGTGAGAAGGCCAGCAGCTCCTGAGCAGAGTGGGCCATGCTTTGTGTGCGTGGCTGGCTTCTAGCTCTGTGGCTGGGGGACATGCACGTGACCATGCATGGCCCAGGGCTGGCCACGTGGCCTGTGTGGTCCCTCTGGGCAGTAGTGAGGCCCTCAGCCGGCCGGAGCTCAGCAGACAGGAAGCCACTCACCCTGCCCTTTCCTCTGCCAAGGCTGCTGGCAAAGTTTGAGTGAAGACCGGCCCAGAGTGGACGGTCCTATTATGCTGTCCATTTGCACCGCCAATCAATTCATTTGCATGAGGCAGTTTGCAGTAATGACTGGTTCCTGTGTGTGCCCTTCCCATGCCAGGGACTCCAGCGCAGGAAGGCACCCTTGAAGGCACTGTGGTTATGTCCTCGTGCTTAGCATCAACAGGGGAGACAGATGTTAATCAATTCATTACTAATTAAAAATCAGCATCCCTGGGATTCTCTGAGAGCTTTCCAGTTCATGCTGGAGGACGGAATCCCTCGCTATCACCCAGCGCTGCCCTTGTGCTGACCTCCACCTGCAGCCCGCACAGCTCTCTCTGTGTGATGCTCACCCAAGAGGCGGTGTGCTCGGGATCCTTTACACACTGCCCGGCTGTCAACACGGGGGACTGCCACCCTTCTGTGAGGGGCCTTCAAGAGGACTGGGGGATGGGAGGGCTCAGCCTGCGTCACCACACTGGAGCCAGCTGCAGCTTCTACAGCCACAAGAGTGAGTGGCAAGTTCAGGGGTGCGGGTGCCTGCCTGTAATCCTAGCTACTTGGGAGGCTGAGGCAGGAGGGTCTCAAGTTCAAGGCCAGTTTGGGCAATTTAGTGAGATGCTGTCTCAAAATAAAAGGGTAAGCTGAGGGTCCAGTGCAGTAGCATCCATGGGTCCAGTCCTCAGGGTGGGGGTGTAGGGAAGAGTAGCAAGCTCATGAACGTGTTTCAGAAAGTGTATGGGGTGGATCCTGGCCTCTTGAGAGCCAGGCAATGTGGGGATGAAGACCCACCCCAGGAATTCTCGGGGCCTATGCCAGCAAGAAACACTTGGGGACATTTACCTCCATTCCATGCCAGTTCACAGGACTATGTGAAAACCCACAGGTCCGAGACAACTGAAAGCCAGGCCTGATCCTACCCCCTGGCCTGGATTTTGCAATGGAGGAGGGGGAAGGAAACACTATAAAATATTTTATCAGATCAACTGACAACACTGGAATATGGATCGACCAGATACCAGCATCTTACTGCTATAAATTCATGACTTTGGCAACTGCACTGTGGTTGTGCAAGATAAAGTCCTTGCTCTCAAGAAAGACACATCTAGGTGGAGAGAATCAGAGAATAGAAGGGCTCCGGTGTGCTGAGCTCACTCACAAACGATTCAGAAAGAAAATCACACGTCTAAGTGCACAGCAAGTCTCTGGACTTCTCCAGAGACCCCACAACTCACCCAGGCTTTCAGGCCCGGCCTGCCTGGCTCAGCAGCCTGAGCCCACCTGGAGAGGGTCCCAGCTGAAATACCTGCGGGCCTGGGCCGGCAGCTCCTTCAGAGCGGAGTCCTCGCGGCGGCAACAATCCTTTGTGCTCCCAGGGCCCCTGGGCACTCTGAGGCCTCCCACAGCTCTGGGTCTGGATTTTCACCGTAGGGGACAGGACTTCTGGGAAAGAGAAAGGATCGGCCTGAGGTACGAAAGACCAGGGCTAGAAGCAGAAAGCTAAAAGAAACGTGGCGAAAAACAAAAACAGCTGAGGGCAACGCCTGGCTTTCAACCCAGCGCAGCAGCACTCACCCTGCTACGCCGCCTCGGGGGAAGTCGCTGGCTCCCAGGGAGATGCGACTTCCGTCCCTCAAGTGGGCATCCCGGGGAGAAGTTCAGAGGGCCAGCGTGGGGCCACATGTGAGGATTCGCGAGTGTTCGGGACAAAGCGCTTCCTTCAGGGGTCTTTTGCTGTAGCTGTTTTTCTAACTCCAAGATCCAGAAAAAGACAGCTATTGCTGCGAGTTTGGCACGATGGAGACATCACGAGCCCGTTGTGGCGATGATCCCCTAGATGGGGATCTGCCAGAAGAGCGGTCCCTTTGTGTCCCGGCCCGGCGCGGAAGGCTGAGCTGAGTTCGGACAGGTCACCACTCAGCCAGGCGTTGTGCGCCCACTTCCCGGATCAGGACACTGAGGCTCGGCTGCGTTGGGGGAGGATGCAGGGCCTGCAGAGGGGAGCTGGGGTCCGAGGGGCGAGGCCGCAGACCCGGGTTTCCGTTCCGGGCCAAGCGCGCTCCGCGGCCGCAGCTCCTCCTGGGGCGCCTGGGCAGGGAGGATGTCGCCGGCGCAGTTGGGACATGGTGAGTTTCAAACAGTCCGCTCCGGTGGTCTCGGGACGGTCCGATCGCCCGCCCGCGGCCTCGGCGGGCCGGCGGGGCGCGGGTCCCGGATCCCGGGGCGGCCGGAGGGGGTCCCCACGCCCCGCCCTGCGCCCCGCGCCCCAGCCCGGGAGGGAGAGGAGGGCGGGAGGAGCAGGAAGGGCGCGGGGCGGGGCGCGCGGGCGGCGTTTAAAGCCCGCCGCGGCGGGGCGCGGGCGAGGCGGTGGCGGGGCCCAGCTCAGTGCGCGGCGGGCCGGGGGCACCCTCGGTCCCGGACCCCGCCGGCTGCTGTCTCCACGGGCACGCGGACGCGCAGGTACGAGCGCGCGCGCGAGGGCCCGGGCGGGCCGGGCGGGTCCCAGCCGGCATTGTCTGCGCGGGCCGGGCCGGGGACGCGGGGCGCGGGGACGCGGGCGGAAGGGAGGAGGAAGGAGGAGGAAGGAAGGGCGTCGCCGGGAGGCGGGGGTCCCCGGCCAGGCCGCGCCCGGGTCGCCGCGCGTCCCCGTCCCGAACGAGCGGGGCACGGGTGTCACGCGCGGTCCCGCCCAGCCGGCCCGGCCCCTCGCGCGGGAGCGTCTGATGCAACGCGCGCCCCGCGACGCCGGCCCGCGCCCCGCGTGGACCCCGCGCCCACCCCGCGCGTCCCGACCGGGAACGGGAACGGCAGCGAGGCGCCGCCAACTTTCCGGCCGCTCTGCTCGGGCGGCGCGGGTTCGGGATTGTTTAGAAAGTAGGGGAGCCACAGGTGAGTTCTCCGGGCCCGGGCGCGGAGGATGCACGCGGAGGGACCCGGCCCCCCGCGGGCGCCCTCGGGGATGCAAAGAAAAGACCCGGACGGTCGCGCCGGGCGTGGATGTGCGTGGCTATTGCACAACTTTCTCTTCGCGATGTTTAAAAGGCCGGGCCCGGAAGACTGCCGGGGGAGTGCTGAATCAGCCGTTTGCAGTTTCAGAAATAAATGGTGCTGGGTTTGAGCGTTTCGTTCGGTTTTCCTGCGAACACATGGCGTGGCGAGAGCGCGGCGCGGGCGGAGCCCGGGACCCGGGCCGGAGCTGCGCGCGGGGCCGGACGGGACGGGTCCCCTGAGTGCCTCTCGCGGAGGAAAAACCCGAAGGCGAAGGCGCTTCCAGCCACGGTGCTGGATGTGCAGGCTTTCGTGTTGAAAATCGGAACGCCAGGCTTCCCGCACGTCCTGTCCTGGGCGAGCCAGCGAGCGAGCGTCCCTGGGCGCACTGGACAGCCCGGGCTCCTCGGCCAATCCCCGCGGGTGGGGGAGGGGACTTTGGGACAGGGTTACAGGCCCGGCCGGCGTGGCGGTAACTGAGAAGCCAGGCCACGGAGCCTTCGGAGCGCTCCGCAGTTTCCAGGGGCGGCCAGGGGCCTCGTTGCTTGTAATCCGCGGGAGAGCCGCCCTGATCCCCATTTTACAGGTCCAGAAAACGAGGCTCCGGGGGTTAATTGGCATGCCTGAGGGCCCACGGTGGCAAGCCGCGAGGCTGTCACTGGAGCCTAAGCCTCGGGTATTTTTTTTCTTCTAAATCCTGTGTGTTTTATGCCTCTGCAAAAAGTACATCCGCTTCTCAAAGCGGCATGGCACCGACGAGTCCACCCTGGCAGACCCGGGGCCCAGGACCGGCCGCTCTGGGGTGGTTACTTAGTCCAGAGGCCCACGGCCTTCAAGATCAATGCCGTGTATTGACCCGGCCGCTGTGGATATTTATTTATTTTTTTTATATATACTTAAACACATTTATTTTGGGAAGAAACTTTGGTAGCCATGAAATCATGAGTTGGATATGGTAGTTATGTTCACTGTAATTAAAATAGAAAAGCAGTCCTCTGCTAAGGTCACCTGTTGCCTATCGCCTGTGGTCTGTATGGCTTTTGGGGCCGCATGGGGCAGTTAAAATGGTTTTCGTTTGTGGAATGGGAGATCAGAGCTGGCAGGTTCATGGCAGACCATTTTCCGGAGCTTTGTTTGGTGGCGGCTGGTGGGACTGGAACCCATCTCAGGTCCCACGACTAAAAGAGCTCGCTCAGAACTTTCGATTTGGATAACCGAGTCGGGATAGGGAATTTATGAAGTGCAGAAACCAAATTCGTGGTTGCACAAAGCATCAGCCTAACTTCAGCTTCATCTTGGACTGGTGGAAATTCTTGGTCAGTGTGATAAGAAGGCATGCATAAGAGGCCGCCTCACTGAAAGGACCCATTTCCTTGGAATTCTGTCTTAGCTGCAGGGGATAGAGGCCCCACTGGGCAGTAGATCATAGCTGAGCTCATGCAGGGGTAGGTGCTGGCCTCTCAGAACGCAGAGCTAACCGCAGGGGCAGATTTGGGTCCTGGTTGTGCATTTATTTACGTGTTGCTGCGCCGTTCTTCTGTCTGTGAAACCCATGTGGGAGTTGCATGGGCTTGTGAGAAGGAAATATTTGCCTTGTCTTTAGTTTAAGTAATCAGTTATGTGTTCAAAATTTAACTTTTCTGGTAGTGGAGGGTTTTTTTTTTATCTGTTTTATTTTTTGCCAAAATGGTGCTCGCGCTCTCTCTTGCTCTCTCTCTCTCTCTCTCTCTCTCTCTCCCTCTCTCTCTCTCTCTCTCTCTCTCTCTCCTCTCTCTCTCCCCCCTCTCTCTCTCCTCTCTCTCTCTCTCTCTCTCTCTCTCTCTCTCTCTCTCTTTTTCTCTCTTTCTCTCTCTCTATTTTGATAATCCAGCTGGGTTAGAGACTTTATAGTGTATAGAAACCAAACTCCTGCTCCAATAAAGACATCTATTGTGCTTCATCATGGAGGGCAGAAATTCTTGGTTTCTTCGGAATTTCTTAAGGTGAAACCATAAGGTGCTGATTTTAGACTTTTTTTCATTTCTAATGTAAACATTTAAAGCTAGATGCTTCCCTCTAAGCCCCGCTTTGGCTACATCCCAAGGATTGGGATGAGGTGGCCATTCGTTTCTGCTGAAACCCAGTTTAGAAGCATGGTAAATTGTGGGTGAGATCAAAACAGTCAAGCTGCCCAGCGGGGCTCAGCAACAGGTCCTGTGGGCTTGGGACACCTTTTCCAGGGTCTGCATGGTGATGTGCATTTCCCAGGGTTATCAGAAATCATCTCTGAGGTGAGGAGAGTGGCACTCATGCTGCCAGCTTTAGTCAGGAAATTTCTGTTTTCCCCATGCTAGAATAGGAAATTTTTCAGCCGTCTCCTTTATGCCTGGATTTGGGGGGAGATTTTCCTTGATGATTATTTTAATCACTTTCTTGTCACGGGGGCGCAGTGTCCAATACCCCCAGCTTAAAGGAGGAAAGGTTGGTGAGGGCTCATGGTTTCAGCTGAAAGTCGGCTGGCTCCAAGGCAGATGCAGCATGGCGGAGGGGCCTCCTGGTGGAGGGGCCTCCTGGCGGAGGAGGAGAGCTGTTCACTGCGTGGCAGCCAGGCAGCCAGGAAGCAGAGAGAGAGAGCAGAGCCAGGGAGGAAGATGAATCCTCCCAGGCCCCGCCCCCAGGGACCACCTCTTCTGACTGACCCTACCTCCTTTCCAGAAGTCAGCTCTGAGGCCCTCTAATCCAGTCACCTCCCAGCCTGTGCCTGCTTGAGGCCTGAGGGAACATCAGATAGACACCATGGCAGTGCCCTGGCTGGATTAGAGATTTGACAGTGCATGGAAACCAGACTCCTGCCTGTGAGGAGCTTGTCTTTGGGCTGGGCCTTTTGGAAACAGGAATTGCTAGAAGGGAGCCCCTGTGTCCCTCCCTTTTTTGCTTTGTTTGATCAAGGCAGCGGCCAAACACTGACAGTTCCGTGAGGCCTGTTGCCTCAGTTGGCCTCTTGGTTCTGCTGTTTATTAGCTTGGCAGGCCCCAACAGGTCCACCAGAGTGGGAGTCGGAGCTTCCCGTGCTGGGGCTGTCCTGAAAGCCAGGTGGCGCGGGCCTTGCGGGAACCATTGGGCAGTGCGTGGTGCACGGTTGGCTTCATCTTGGAGCCATTTGTGCACTGGGTCATTCTCCTTTCTGTTCGTGTTTGTTAAAAACGTTTTTTTCCTATCACTCTGCTGTTTTTATATTTTTATCTTTGTGAGTGTTTGTTGTGCAAAACCTTGTGGAACTGATCTGCATTCTCTTTAGTCCAGGGTCACAGTTTGCACACTTGTAGCATGGTATTTTAGTCCTGGCTGCAAACCTCTAGACAGGATGGTGGTGTACAGCAGGCATCCCAAATCTTGCTCCGTGACCTAGAGCAGGACAAACAGAGAGGCCCCTGCAGAGCACGGGTTTTGGGACCTGCATGGGGAATGTGGAGAGGACTTCGGTCTGCAGCTTGCAGAGCTCCTGGCGCTTGCCTTCAGGTCCCTGGGGCTGCCACCCGGGCTCTGCAGCAGCCCTTGTTTTCATCAGGGCATGAGCATGGGCCACTACTGGCCCTGCTGCTGGTACCAGGTGGCTGTGCCCTCGGGAGCATCCCTGCAGCCCTCAGGGTGCTGTGTGCTAGGTAAACGGCCTGGTGCCAGCAGTCATCATCCCCTCTATTGTCTTGGGGCTCTCGAATGACTGAGCCCCACAAGTGTGATGCCTGCTCCCATTATTGTCACACAGGAAAGGCAAAGTCCAGGGCTCTCGGGGTGCAGGGGGGAGCTGCATGGTGGTGCCCGTCTGTCTGTCTGGTCCCATCTGTGAGCTGTTGGCTAGGGAGAGCCATGGGGTGCCTAAGGGGCCCTGCTCCCACCCTGTCATGTGAGAGCCTCCAGGGACTGTCGGGGCTGCTCAGTGCAAGTAGCATGTCCTCATTTCCTGTGACTGGGGCCTTCGGCCTCTGGCCACGAAGCCCAACGCCTTGGCATGTGCTACTCCCACAGGTTGTGCGCAGGGCCCTTCTAGAACTGTTTTGACCTTGAAAGTGCATGCCATCCATTCTGAACCTCCTTTCCCATGAGCAGCTGTAGAACACCACACTTCTCATCCTCTGTAGGAATCTCTCATGTGAAAATCGGAAATCCAAAAGGCTCCAGAGTCACAAACTTTAGACATTCAATTTGATGGCTGAAGTGGGAAAACTCTATACCTGAAACCTTTATGCCCAAAATTATTTAAAGTATCATGGGTAATGATCTTCAGGCCTCAGGCAGACAGCGTGTAACACAAATGCATTTCCAGTGCCTCACCGCCCCTCGGGCTCCTGGTTATCAGTGTATGTTTGCAGTTACTCATGGTGATGTCTGTTTAGTGGAACTGGTACCTGCATGCAATTTATCTTGATCATTTTCAGAACTGGGCCCTGGCCCCAAGATATCTCATGTATGCACTAATGTTTCAAAAAAGTCTAAAATATTTCCGATCCCAGGTACAGGCACAGGATTCTAACCTGTAGCAGTGATTTCCAGATCCCTGCAGTAAGGACCTCGAAAGACCAAAGCTGCTCTGAGGTGACTCCTTTTCATTGGGGGGCCCCACATGATCTCCCGCGGAGCAGGATACTCCCAGGGTGACCCTGGGCCCTGCCTGGCACCGTGGTCTTTGTGTGGGTATGAGGTGTGAGGCCAGCCGGGCCTCGGGGGGCCTGTGGTTGTCCTCAGGCCACTTCAGACAGAGGCCGCGTGCCTGACTTCCTGTGGTGCCCGTGCCACCTGGCCCGGGCAAGCTGTTCCCCGTGGCCCTCCAGGGTGCCATTTCTAGGGAGCTGCCTGTTCTCTTTCGATGAAAATCCTGTGGGTCTCACAGCAGCCGGTCCAGGACGTTCCTAGAGAGATGAGAA